GCACAAAATGATGTAAACATAAACCATTATATTATTTTTAAAAAATTAATGCTACATTTAGAAGAGTAACTCACAAATAGTTATCCCCACTAATTGTTATTCCTGCCTGAAATGTACTTCAGGCTCTTCCTCTCACCTCAACCCATTCGGCTGTCACTTCTTCTGAAAGGTATTGACCTGACAGATTCTTTAAAAAGCCACCCCTCCCCCTCTACAGCCCTTCTCATAGTCACCATACTTATCACTATCTGAAATATTATATTCTTTTTTGCCTATTTCCCCATTAAGACATAAGCTCCTTAGGCTGAATATTTTGTCATGTATGCTGCTCTATTTCCACTTCTGACTGAGAATCTGACTTGTCCATGCACATATCCCTTATCAAAGCTAGGAAAGCTATTTGAATTTCATAATAATAATACTATATTCAAGCAGCCTTTCTTTTTTTTCGATTATTATCTCATTTGAGCCTTGAAAAGTCAACAGAAGATACACCATCGTCTCTAATTTTAAAGAGAGGAAAAGTAAGTTTGGGTGACTTGCCTTTGGAAACAAAACTGGCAAATGCTAGAATTTAGCAACCCCTACTTTCCAATTCAAATGTTCCTTAAAGTAGAATGGAAGGATATTATGCCCTTGAACTGGGCTTACAGAAATGAGATCTCTCAGCCTCCAGAATGTATTCTGAGGCATCAACAATATCCTTCAGGGTTTCTAACAAATACTTGTCTCTGAACCTGAGTAGTTTTATATACACTACAGTATTAATGCATCAATAATACAATAACCCTTGGTAAGCCAAAAAATCAAGTAGTAATATACAAAGACGGGAAAGTCCAAATCCACACAAAATCACTAAAACTCAAGTGCATCTGCTGCGTTTAATGTTCTAGTTCCAACATGCTACAAGCTTTCTCTGCAAATCGCAGTCAAGGGTGCATTACAACTGTCAACAACAATTGTGGTAATGGTTCAAATTATTTCCTAATTCCTGTTTCACCAGGTTAGGTGACAATATTTAGGATTATTCATGAGACTCAACTGTTGTCCATGATCAAATGGGGGGAAGTGGGAGGTGGTGAGGCAAAATTGTGAAGAAGGTCCCTTCCTATGAGATCTTTGTCATATGGCCTCTGGCTTCCACATTCTCAGAAAGAAACAACTTTCTTTTTTTCCCTTGAGCTTTGTCCTAGCAAATGTACATGGTTCTATGATCTCACGTCATCTCACAAAGTTCCAGATCCTACAGTAACAAATGGAGGGGGGCGGTGGGGCGGGCAGAGAGGAGGTGGAAAGTCTCCCTATTTATACAAAAAGCAAACTGAGGCAGCAAGTAGTTATCGTTATAAATTGTCCTTAACGATCTGGTGCCTTGCAGGATCCCAAAGAATCCTGGACATTGAGTCTCTAAAGAAACCTTCCATCCATTGTAACCTGTCAAACTTTGGGGCACAGGGGAATCTAAGTCCTTCATTAAGGAAGGGGGGAAAAGGATCCTCCCTGGTAGACCTTCCCCTTTCCAAGCCTTTGCAAGCCTCCTATTTAAGCCCTCAGCATGAGGGGTCGGGGAGTGGAAAGGTGCAGGTGCGAGACCAGGCCCACCCACTAAGGGGCCTCTCCTCTCATGCCTGTTCCTCCCGCCCCAAAGGGCGCCCCGCGAACTGGGCGGGATGCTGTGCCTTCCCCACTTCGGCAGTTCCCCGAAATGCCCAAGGAATCAAACGCCGCACAGTACCATTAACACCCGCACTGCGAGCAGCTGTGGGAGCTCCGCAGGCCCAGGGAGCTGCAGGAATCCTCAGAAACTTACAGTTTTCCTACAGCGTGCGCGTCACGGCGAGGTGACGTCACTGGACCGGCGTTCGGGGAGGTCAGGCCGCCGGACGCTAAGAGCTCGGCCCCCACGGCTCCGCCCCTAGCGCGGGGGCGGGAGAGCCGCCCTTTCTTCGGCGGCCCCGCCCCCTTAGTGAGGCCGTGGGCGCAGGCGCGGTGGATGAGTGTGACCGCCTCCCCGCGGGCTTAACAGCCGGGACTCCTAGGGCGGAGGCGGCTTTGCGAGAGCTTCGCCCAAGCGTTCGGCGGCGGGGTGGCTAGACTAGTCACAAAAGCAGGCCAAGACCTCCCCCCACATGGGCGACGAGCTGTCACCCACAGGTTGGAGTAGGACACCGGGGCTGTGTGGTAGACTTTCCATAGACATTGTCTTCCTTCATTCACGTGTTAGTTAAAAGTTCTCCACGTGTGGAAACAGCTATTTGCTCGCCATCGGGGGTGCCTCAGGCCGGGACTTAGCGGTCCTACCGAGCCC